AAAATTGATGAGGTTACAAATTCTAAAAATTTGGTTACAAATAGTAACCAACTGAGTTTTGTAATTCACAACTTGCTTTGGACGATTCCGTTGAATTGGATGGGCCAGCCCCTCATTGAGAAATTTACAATTACTCGAAAGGGCCGAGGTTAAAAATTCCAAAAAGTTTGTTACAAATAGTTACAAATTGGGTTTTATAAGTTACAATTTGTTTTGGATGATTTCGTTGAATTGGGGAGCTGCGTGAAGTTAGCCCCTCATTTATAAAGTACCCGTAGCTTGAAAAATATGAGGTTACAAATTCTAAAAACTTGGTTACAAATAGTTACAAATTAAGAAAATAAGGTTACAATTATTTTGGAAAGTTTTTTTTATAGTGGGGGGGCTAACTTCACACACGTTGTTTTCGAATATTACCGGTGACCATTGTTTATTTCAGACCTTTTATGCCGGTGGAGAGGGGGTATCATAAATTTTCAGGGGATATTTGGTATGCCACAGATGTTAATATGATTGATAGATAATTACATTTTTTCTGGAGGACAGGGACATGCCCCTCTCCGACTACCCCCCCCCCCCGGAATAATTAATTTCCGTAACACGTATACCGTGTTGTTTTCTTACCGTTCTGCTGCAGCAAAAGTTGGTTGACCTATACTACAGCGGTTCCCAAACTTTTTTTTCAGCGGTACCTTTTTTTGGACTCAATTTAGCCACGGTGCCCTGCTGTGAATAACACAAAAGACAGGAGAAAAAAAATGTATAACCAATTTTATTAGTTTATTAAAATTTCACTTAATTATAAATTGATATGTTTTTAAACTTAAAAAATAAATAAATAAATATTATTGTTATTATTATTCTGATTATTACATAATAATATTATTAGGTTAAAACGAGAATGTCCGAATACACAATGGAAAATATTTCATTGCTTGTTATAAAGATTTTACGAAAACAATAAGGAAAAAAAATTCTATACGTCTTAAACTATTTGTTATGAACTGTAGACAGCAGTGCTCTTAGAAAGTGCTCGCGGTGACCCTAGGGCACTATTATTATTGTTACGCGTGTCGTTCCGCAGCTACCCCAAGAAGGGCTGCTGGATGGTGGGTTGATGAACGTGATCGTGTACCTCCACGGCGAAGCGTTCCAATACGGGTCCGGAATCGGTCACACGCCACATTATCTGTTGGAGGGAGGAGACGACGTGGTGTTCGTCACGATCAACTACCGCTTAGGCCCGTTGGGGTTCGCGAGCACCGGCGACGACATTCTGCCCGGCAACAACGGCTTAAAGGACCAGGTCGCCGCGCTGAAATGGGTTCAACGAAACATCGCGGCGTTCGGCGGCAACCCGGGGGCGGTCATGCTCGCCGGCACGTCAGCGGGTGGGGTCAGCGTCCATTATCACTTAGTGTCGCCCATGTCGCTAGGTAAACCCGATTCCGGCGTTCCTGCCGTGAAAGTAAATTAACGTTGAATATTTTACAACACAGTGTATAAAATACTAATAAAAAAAAAAAGTTTTACAATGGTGTAAATTATTCAAACGAAATACATCCCCCGATCGGTTAATAACTATCATGATAATAACTTTTTTGCATAAAGGTCTGTTTAATCGAGCGATTGCGTCGAGCGGAAGTGCTTATTGTCCCTGGGGCTACACCGAAAACGTTGTTCAGAAAACCAAGCAGTTAGCCGAGTACCTGGGATGTCCCACGTACTACTCGAAGGATACCGTAAAATGTCTTCGGTCGAGACCGGCATTTATTGTCTCAGAAACTTTGAAAAACTTCTTGGTAATTGTATAATTTTAAAGAACACTAATATAACGAATCGTTATATTAAAACGTTATAAATCTAACACATTCGCATATAATTAATGTTCTACATAAGCCATGGATGTTCGATTCATTTACGGTATTTGGTCCGACCGTCGAACCACCCGGAGTAGATCGGTTTTTAACAGACTTGCCTGAGAACCTACCGGTCCAGAATGTCCCGTTGTTATTTAGTTTCACTCAGTACGATGGCCTCTATCCTTTCGCTGGATATGTAACTCACGAACAGACCTTGGTTGAAATGGAATCCAAATGGAATGAAATCTTACCATTTGTACTCGACTACAACAACACTGTTTCGGACGAATCATTGAAACCTGAAATTGCACAGAAAATTAAAACATTTTACTTTGGAAATAATTCGGTATCTGTAAACACCAAAAACAACGTAATTGAAGTAAGAAAAGTACATTTTTAAATTCATCGAATACTTAAAATGCATTCATAATAATATTATGATAACCCTTAAACAATATTTTGTCACTGATAAATAAATCCATATTATTATTACTCAATTAACGATTTAAATTCAATAAATTGAACTGGTTATTAGTTATTAGTAATATTATTAATCAATATTCATCGTTCATATGAACTAAAATAATAAAAAACATAAAATATAAAGTTATTTAGTAAAATTAACAAACTTACTTATCATTGTAATGCTTCTCGTGTTTTTTCATAGACTTGAAAAACGTAAAATTAACTTAAAATTTAATTTTCCATATCAAACGCAAGGTATATCTAAAACAAATTAAAAAAAAAAAATCGTTAAGAAAACGAGTTTTCAATAATAATATAGTAAATATAATTTGTATGTAAATAAATCTGAAGCAATTAAAATAAAAAAAACAAGATTGTGCAGCGTGTATGGGAAATAAAACTCGGAATTAGTTACTGTTAAAGTTCTACTTTCGATATCAGAACATTGCTTGTACGTAATGTGAAAATAATTTAACGTAATAATAATAATAATTTACTTTATTATTATTTTTCGTAGATGATCTCGGATCGGATGTTCAAAGAACCTGTGGCTAGAGCAGCCAGGCATTTGGCTTCAAAAAACACATCACCGGTATACTTTTATGAGTTCGGTTACAAGGGTAAATACTCATTTGCAGACACATTTTCAAAATTTGGACACTCCGAAGGCTTAGGTAAATTACTGTTACACCACTTTCCTCCTAACATTATATTGCGTGTATATTATTATTCTTTTATCGCATTATTTTAGGGGTATCGCACGGAGACGACAATATATACGTGGTTAAGACCACTTACGGACATCCACACGACAACATAGAAGACGCAAAGTTGATTCCACTCATGGTAAACATGTGGTCGTCGTTCGCTAAAACGGGGTGTGTTGATTAATACTATATATACTACTATATACGTATTTGAAAATATTTTTCTATATTTTCCGAAAACAAAATATGTACTCATGAGCCAGTAGCGCAATCAGGAATTTTTCATGGGGGGGGGGGGGGGTTTGACAAAATAAACTAATATACAAATAATAAAAAATTATAATATATATATCTAGAATATGATATTAATATACTATTATACGTACCAAGGGGGGGGGGTCCAGACCCGGAGTCCACCCCCCTGGTTGCGCCACTGTCATGAGCAATAGTTTTGAGAACTATACTTCAATATTTTCTGTTTCAACAAGCCAATTCATATCCATTTCAGGATTCCGGACTTAGGAAGTAATTCTACAGTATGGTCACCGGTGTCCAAAAATCCCGCAGACCCGTTAAGATTGGTCAAGATCACTCAAGGCCAAACGGCTGAGTCTCTAGAACTCTTGGATCCCGGTAACCATACGTTCTGGAGTATGTTGCCGCTAACCGAGTTTTCTACAGCCGCTGACTTGTCGACTAATGTTAACCGAGTCGAACTCTAGGAAAATAAAAATAAAATCAAAATAAAACATTACTTTACTGCTGTTTTAACATATTTAAAACTGATGTATTTTTTTTTTTTTTTATTCAACAACTGTACATAGTTTTTTTTTTTTTTTTCGAAAGAGAAGAAAATTAATGAACAATGTATTGGATTATATTTTTTGGTAAATAATATCTAAATAAGTTGAACGAGATGAGTTTTATTATTTCTTCCAATTATGTAACCACTGCATTTAATACTCAGACGTCATATTATCTTTCCTAATATCAATAAAAATGTTGGATAATTTATTATTTGAAACAAGAAAAAAATCACTAATTTATTTATTAAATACAATTATTATAGTATTATTGAAAACATGTGTTAATTTATATTATTTCAAAACATTGAGTTCTCTCTTACGAACGTATTTTAAAAAGAATAAATCACTGATACAAAACTAAATCAACATATTTTTGAACAATAAAGGTATTACGATGTTCATACAGCTTTAATATTTAATACTAAAATATAATAAAATAGTAGTTTTCTTAGATACAAATATAACTTTTGCTTTGATTTAGTTTATTGTTACAACTCACGAAGTATATGTTTTTTGCGCTAATTAAATATTGTAATAAAATCACCAATTTTAAAGCGTATTATATGTATTTTTTAATTTTTCGACATAAATAGTTGTAATTTTATATAAAGCAAGAAATTATTTAAATTTGTTTTTTAAATAATAGATCAAACATAACTACTTAGGGAAAACGTTCTATGGTCATCTGGAATTAAAATATAAGGTTCTTAATGCATAATGTATATAGTCTTTGAATAACTAACGATTGTGAACTCAGAAACTATACACCGTGAACGAATTTGGTTGTAAAAGTTAGAAGAAACACAATATAAGAATTTGTTTCATAATTATTTGCCATAATTTTTTATTCATTTACAGACGTTTAATGTGATAAAAAAATTAATATTTTACCAAGTCCATTTGCTTCCAATATAGGGATAATAACTTTAACTAAAAATCCATCAGTTACACCTGTTGTTTTGTCAATGCTTACTCAAATTTTTTTCCATCAACAAACATAATTTTATTTAGTGTTTGATTATCAATATCATAGATGTAATCTAAGATTGTCTCAAATGGAATGTCTTTTCCTATGTATTTTAATAAAAATTCTTTGAACTTAGGATTATTTACTTAATTCTTTTAAAGTAATATTTGCAAAAAGCATGGCATTATAAAATCGTATAAAACTTTTTTTATAAGTCATAGTAATAAAATCTAGGTGTTTTGATTTATTATCCATTTGATATTTGTTCACGTTTTGCGATCAATTTATGTTTTTCCGTCTTCGAATGTCAAGTAACCAAATATCACCTTTCTGTACATATTTTAGTTTCACAAAATTTGCAAAAAAAAAAATTATCCCATTACTTTAAAATATATTTTCTACGAATTTGATTATATATAGTTTAATGCGCGTATTTTTCATTACTTTCGGTACCTTTAAGCTTACTAGACCTAAAATAATAACGAAGTATAAAAACCACGACGCACGTTAACAAACTGATTTTTTACAATTAGACATTTCCTTAGTTACTATGTTCGATTACGCGATGACTCGTTTTATGATTAGGTTATATCAATCGAAGCGTGACAGAAAAAAAGTCTACTTTTAAAATTAATGTACATTACATAAAACGTAAAAATACGTGAATAAGATAAAATAACAATCAAATTGCCAACATTTATCTCATTTTCGTTCTATCTGAAAAAAACCATTGAAATATACAAAAATATGCAATTCAATTTTTGTATATTAGTCCGCTATGCCTCAAAACAAATCATATCTTAGATTATTCTACATCCATTATTAAAGAATATACAAATTCAACAACTTCCGAATTCTAACTGTTTTTATTATTATTATTAATATTGTTATTTTATTTTACATATAGAGTTTCTGTTTGTGTATCCATATTTAAAAGGTAAAATCAATGATTTCAAGTACGATCGATACACCAAAATGAATTTTTTTCTATCGCACATGCAGTACGAATTTTATGATTTAGTTCAATGTAATCGAGAACGGTCGATCTTCAACAATTATTGTATTCATTTTAAGCTTTATCGATGTTGAAGAGACTGTTCTGCTTGATTATCAATACAAGTCGAAAAATAAAAACAAAAAAATCGTCCGTTCGACGCACTAGAAGCTAATAATGTATTATTATCATTATTATTATTATTATTATTATTATTATATATATATATAGTAAAACCTTGATAAGACGAAATCGCTTGGGACCATGATATTTTTTCGTGTTAACGGGGTTTCCGTCTTGTCGGGGTTAGTTAATTGTATGTAATTTAAAACGGGACCAAAATAATGTTCCGTTTACCGAGGTTTCCGTCTTACCGAAATTCCGTCTTATTGAGGTTTTACTGTATTATTAGTCGTTTTTATCATTTTTATCGTTTTTTATCTTATATGACAAACGTCAAATTCTCGCAGCTTGGTAGGTGCTAGTCAAGCCGTGTCCGTCGCCGAGCGTATTTTCTTAACTAAATGAAAAAAATAATAAAAAATCATTTTCGTATAGTTCAAACATATTTATTCGGTAAAAGAAATCGCACGTACACTACGGAAATTCTAAAACGCTTCACTGAACCAATTTATATATTCTTCAGAGACACAACTCGCGGTTATGATTGCAATGGAAGTGACGAAGATTTCGATCGCCTATTGTATTTTTACGGTCTGATGCTGTTCGGCAATGCCTTTCCTGAACAACGACAACATCGCCAAGCCGATAGTGCAAATTGAGTCTGGTCTGCAGTGTTGGGAATAGATAATGCAACATTTATCTAGATAAAGATGAAAGATAAATTTCCAAATTCATCTAGATAAAGATGATACATAAAAAAAATTAAAATATTTAGATAACGATAAAAGATAATTTAATTTTTATCTAGATAAAAAAAAGATATTTTTTAGTCAATATTTCATATTCTAATAATATCTATGAAGACTCAATTATAATCATTATTATCAATAGGTACCTCAGTGTTTAATGTTTATTGTAGTAATGTAGTGTACCCATTAAGCAGTATTAATTTATAATGTAGGTACAATATTTAATGATAGTTAATCACTAAAATGTTACATAAAAAAAAAAAAAATGTATCTGTCAACGGAATTTCAATCAAAATAACTATAATTAAAGCTATTTGACAGTTAACAATCAATAGTTCGCACAAATACCAAACTCATGAATTTTAAATAGTACATAATGTATGTACATTTTATTAGTAAAAGTTAAATAGTTTTTTTTTTTTTGTACTTCAAGTGGAGTTTGAATTTCGCAAAACTCGATTCTACTACAGTCAATAGGATCATCCATAGAGATAATATATATATACGAGTAATAACCTTATCATAAGCATATTCAGCCACTGATGTAGTGTAATTAGCTGATCAGAAACGAAAATATTATAAAGAATGGGAGATATAATTTCGCTCTGGGGTAGGGATGGTCCGAATTGTTTGAACATCAATATTCGATGTATCGATGTGTTCGATTTATCAGTGAAAAACCATCGATGTTTAAGAACATCGAAGTTTAAAAACATCGAAAAAAATGTTTTCTTCTAGAGCTGCCATCTGTTGCACACCTTATTATTTGTACAGTGTATTATTTTCTTGTTTAAATAATAAATTTAAGAATTAAAATACTATTGTTTGGCTTATATTTTTTAAAAACATATTAAATACTTATAATCAGGTCTTGTAAGTTCATGCATTTGCATATTTTCTTTGCTACATCGGAAAATATGATAATTGAGATAAAAATCCGTTTCATAACAATGGTAATAAAAATCTAAAGTTTAATAGAGCATGTTTTTGAATATTTTGTGTGTATTGGCATGTTTAACATATAGTTGATTTTTTTGAGTTATTAGCGTACATTATTTTATGTAAATTCAGCGAAATCGTTTTTTTGTGGAAGTCAAAAAAAAATTAAATCAATAAATGTTTGAATTCATTCTTCTCTTTTCCGAACTTGTTTATAAAATCTTAGTATTTTATCAATATTTTTATTTTTTAATGACATTTAAAAGCAGTACCATGAAAACAATGTTATTTCGCACCACTTCCACTCTTCTATTGACGTGTTTATTGCAATCTATCTATTTTCGTCACAACGTGTGTTCATTAATTATAATTTTAATAAAATGTAACCGAAGAAAAAATAACTTTTAAAAATATAAATGGATATTTCTATTATTTTAAAAAGTCCTTAAATGTTTTTGTCATGCATAGTTTTACTACATATTTGTTCAAATGTAAGTGTATTATTGCATGCTTATTTATGCGTTTTTTTTTAGTGCATGAACTTACGAGCCCTGATTATAACTGTATAGTGTATACTGTATAACGATTTTTGTATACTGCATACTAAAATAATACAAACAAAAAAAAAATCAAACTTTTCGAACATAAACATCGATGTTTAATTGATTAATCAAAAACAAATCATCGATGTTGAAACATCGATATATCAACCTTCAATGAGACAAGTTTTGATGAGAAGATAAAATATTGAAGGAAAAAATTATTTTAATGTACCAATGCCGGAGACCCTCGAGCCATCCTCTATAAAACGCCAGCAAAATGTCGAGAAAAGCAGTCATGAAATATAATTTTTTTTTCAAACGAATACGATATTGCATCTACCACTCTATGTACTTGATGGATAGTAGAATGTGAAGAACGAAAACCAAACAATATAATTGATTAATTAATAACACCATATACGTACTAAATCATATAATCAAAGGTTGATAATACCGTGTATGTCATTTATAGAGTTCCAAACAGGAAATTCTACGATATGGTCATCGGTGTCCAAAAATTCCGCCGACCCGTTCAAATTGATCAAAATCACACAAGCCCAAACATTCGAGCCCGAAGAACTGTCGGATCCCGGTGACCACACGCTCTGGAGCACGTTACCGCAAACCGAATGTACAGCCATTGATTTGTCAACAATCGGTGTCAAGCGTTAAAAAATCCAAACAAATACTATACTATCATACAGATTTATAATTAATTTTCGACTTTTTTAATATTTACGTACGGCCAGTTTTTGATTCCATAATTATAGTTTCTTATATGTTACTTACTTTGCCCATTTGTTTTAATAAAGACAGTGCTACAAATTTTGCATATAACATTTTCTTTGGTCAAGAATTACAATGTATATCTTTAATAATTTTTTTTCAAATAGTCTGTAAGTATAAATAACTGGAATGCGACTTAGTTAATATTTAACATTAGCGTCATTAAAATTATTTTTACAAAAATTGGAACTATCCAAATATAGTCTAAAATACGATACTTGTATATCTTAGAATCTAAATCTGCAGCTCGTTTGATAAATTTAAATTTTATTGCGTTTTATCGGTTAAAAGTTAACTGTATTTTTATGATGTATGAGTAAATTCAACAATGCGTTGACAGAGTGCCTGCACTAAACCAAAATCAAACGTAACATCATCTATCCGAATTATTTAAACACATTGTAGACAAATAATTTAATTAGGAACACTATTGATTCAGACGATAAATATTTTTTTTAATAAAGTAAAAACTTTTATTTCGTTACTATTTATTATCTAAAAGTGTGATTCCTATGCACACATCTAGAGACGCGCGGCCGGACGCGACGATATATTAAATTTTGGTATGTGCAGTCAATTATTTAGCTGCGCAATCTAATATTGATTCCTATGTACACGTCAGGAGATGCGCGGCCAATATATCGAGACTAAAATAATTAAGCACGTACACGCAGTTTTATCAAGTCCTGTGTTTGGTTATGTTGTACTTGTTTATTTATATAAGTATGTTTTAAAATATTATTATTATTATTAGTTTAACCATGTCCTTTACAAAAAAACAAAAATTTATCTTAAAACTACTTCTTTTACAATAAGTAGAAGAAGAACAAGCCATTATATTATCATGTTATGTTAAAAAATAAAAATGAAATGCATGAAATGTACTTAGCCAGGGAATTTTGTGTCACACATTATTCACAAAATTTCGAACTTTGAAAATTAAAATATGAATAATAAATTATATAATATGTAATATATCATATTATAAGCTATTAGCTGCGCGATTTGACTGCTCTCGAAGCGGTCGTTGACGCGCGCGATGGCCGCGCGTCTTTAGGAATCACACCATAGGTGCGTCAGTCGAACAAGTGGTATAACACGTGGTTATTTTTATCTCGATGCGGCCGTCGGCACTTGCATACTATGTATTATCGATAAACAGGTAACTACTTTTATTTATAAAATGTACACAGTAAGAAAATATGATATAATCATTACAAATAACAGTAAATAACAGAAGAGGGGGTATATCTGCGACAGGAGTATTTTTTTAATTAATATTTTTATAAATAAATACTAATTATCTTATTATATTATATAGATACTAATTATTATTATGTAAATTTATTATTTTATTAATTTTTTATTCTTAAGAAGATATAGTTTTAAAAAATATCTCGAAACCGTTAACGATTTAATCGGTGTGTTGGCTTACTTAGAAGAGTTGCGGTTGAAAGACGTATTATTTAAACCTTTGAATGCGAATGGATTTTTTTATGGAGATATGGGTAGTGTTTTCTTCGCTAACTTATTAATAAATATACAAAAGAGTTGAGGTAATGACACGAATCGACTTGGTCTTTCCGCTACACGCTGTATATACACACATTTGTACATAAGTAGTGCGATAAGATAAGAGCAACGAACTGTCAAAAACAGAATATATAAATACATTAATGTAACAAAACCATTTACTTAACACTCTACAGTGCTACCAAATGGTATAATCTTGGTGGGAGGAATACGATTTATTGGAGACAAATACCCTATCAAAACCTTAAAGAATACAAATTTTTTTAAATAATTAAGATTATTAGAAAAAACATGAGAAAAATTTAAAAAATTAATTTTTTTTACGTTTTTCGGCATGTATACGAATAGTATAAAATAATGTAATAGAACAATAACCACGGGCGATGGACATCACGAGTCTTAACTCTACTTTATAGTGAATGGCTACACTGCACTCGACATACCCGTCGTCAGTGTCGAGTCTGCAAGGCGTGTAGTCTGGTCGCGTTTGAATATACTAACAAAACCAAAATAAAAATCACGGTTAAATTGCTTTCTGAAGGCTTCCGAAAGTGTCTTTGGCAACATTTTTTACCTGTACCATGGTAGTGATCACGTGGATTTCAATCGCATGTTTGTCAACGGTCTGCTGGTGCTGTTGCTCGGCAAACTCTTCGCCGAGGGTAAATGTTGAGTCGGGAGAACTCTCCGGACTCGTCGACTACACTCACATCTCCGGCCGACCCTTTTACTCGTTTCTAGGCGTTCCCTACGCCAGTCCGCCTGTACATGAAAATCGTTTTAAGGTAAAGCAGTTTTGTTTTATATTTCCCTCCTTTACACCTCCCAGAGCCGTATTTAAGGGGTTGTTCGGTGAGGTAACAGCCTCCCTGAAATATTTAAGGGGGCGGCAATATTTTTACGATATTTCTAAATAAAACCAAATCGATTTTTTGCATTACCAATGGAAAATGTTTGATCTATTTTATTTAACATGGTATTTTATTGAGACATATGTATTGGTTTAATCTTGATTTGTATGGGAATAGGATATTCAGACCGAATGGTACTAAATTATTTAAGGGTACCACCATCAATTTTATAAAAGATAATTTTCTATAACTTTAGTTATGTAATTATAACTCGATTATTGTTTTGGATTTGATATTAATTACAAATATAATTTAATTTATATTTAAATAAATATATAAAGTATAATAATATTAATTATAAACAAATCAATTTTATATAATTTCACTGAAAGGGGGAAATGAATCACGAGCGGCTTTTTGTTAGATAGTTGTCTCCACTACTATTCTTATTTTCGGTTTTACACATTAGGGAAGAAGGTCAGTAAAATGCTGTTGCCCCTGAGCGGAGAAATCTTAAATACGGCATTAACGCCTCCGCAGTTCAGTAGGTGGAAAATATAATAACACACGCATTTCCGTTTCGGCTAAAACAAAATTAGCTCATGTCAAGTAGATTTTTCCTAAAGCGAATCGTTTGTTTTCGGCGAAAAAAATACGTTTATAAAATGTTAAACAGCTTTTTATCATAAGTACCTTATTACAGTATTGTGTAAAAAAAATATATATAAAATAAAGAACTAAAAGCTTGTGTATGCCTTACTGGTTTTTGGAAATATTATTTCAAACGATTACACTATACTGTATAAGTACTAATTAGTGAAAACACAAATTATATATAGTACAAAGTTATTTTTTAATTTTGAACAAAACTGCACAAAGACCTTTGATTCGAATTTTCACTTTCTTGATTTAAAAAAACGATCTTAAGTTGGATCGCAAGATATTAATAATATATTAATAAAAATTAATTGATGGTAAATATTTAATTTTTGTTTTTGGAATAGGTACAAATATAAACATAAATCATTATAATAATGTTCGTTAATTATACAATACCAAGTATAGTTTTATCTTGAATATTAATATATAATATTTTATTAATAATTTACAACATTTAATTTTAATTGTTTTAATTTTTAATTTTAATTTGGACTATGTAGTACCCTGAGAATTCTATTGGAAATTACTACACTCATAATCAATAATAAAATCGAATAATTAATCGATTGAAAATGTATTAATATATATATATATATATATATATATAAAGCTCCTTGTGTACTGCAATCCTAGAATTAAATGCAGGGATTCATGATTAGATTTCAAGGAGTAGGTTAATTTATCGCATTTTTGTGCTACCATGATAAATAAATGTAATTCATAATCAAGCTCTGATATAAATGGATGCATGTATAGATAAGGATAACATTTTTTACATGAATCGGCTATAAATCCGTCACTTGGAAATACTGTGTAGTAATACTAATATGTAATGGGCATAAGGGTAATATTAAAGGTAAACAATAACGAAAATCAATCCGTAACAGTTTAATAATTACACCTGACTTTATTTAGGAAGCACAACCAGTGAAACCTTGGGTAGGCATATGGAACGCTACGATCCCCGGAAGTGACTGTTTAGGATTTGACCACAGCAAGTTCAAAGTTGTGGGGCAAGAAGATTGTTTATACCTTAATGTTTACACGCCAACAGTAAGTATAAAATAAATAGCAACTATATAATGTGATTGACTTAATTAATACGATTAACTTAATTCTTAATAACAATTTAAATATTGTAATGAACTGAACACGTCGAGTTTTATCATTACAAAATAAGTTTATTTATAAGCATAATTGTTTTACAAGAATGGATAAAGATATATGTATAATTACATAATAAAATTTAACATAGCATAAGACTTAACAAAATATAACATTTAACATAACAAGTAATATTTAATATGTTTATAACTTACGGCTCTGTAGCACTTTGAAGTAAAATGATAATTTAAATTATTCAATGTTGCGGCGTAAAAGGGGACACGAGTGTATTACGGAGCCCTATAACAATGAAAAATAGAATAGTCAAAGGTGTGGGGTATTAAAGCCACACCGGACTATTTTCTTATTCACACAACTTTAAATTTAAAAAGAAAATGAATTACGCGCCGAATATGTTAATGAAAACTGAGATTATTTTGGTGGGAAACGCTGACATCGGTGGGGAGATATTTTTAGGCCAGGCAATCCGACAGACGGGGTTTTAAGGCCGTACCCTGGACTCTGAACCTTTAATAATATCTCGCAACCGATATTTGGTCAGAAAGATGTAACGAATTGGTCTGTTGGTCTCATATATATGTGTATTTGGTGTTTATTGATTTAATTTCCCGGGTAAGTAAAAGGTACATGTTTCATTTAATACGTTTTGGTAGATTAATGTATATTGTATTTGGAGATATGTATTTATTGTGCACTGTAGGCGTTTCTGAATTTTACTATTTGTTTACTGTTAAAGAAAATTGAAAGTTTATTAATTGTAATACAATTGTATTACAAATTTTATGTTTTTTAATATTACATCGCGCCAGCGCTATCTACCGTCGTTGCAGTGTGAGATCGATGGGTCGATGCGTGACGTCATGAGATACCGGTGGCGCGGCATAGCGGATGGTAGTAGGTGTGTGTGATCGTTACAATATTAAAGAAATTAAAGTGTTTAAATGTTTAGATATTAATAATTGAAACGCAATATACGAATCTTCATTTAAATGTATTAATGGTAATTTAATTGAGAAAAACTGTTTTTAAAACATTCCAGAAATATATGAATACCTGTTTATAATTTTTATGTTACACTTAAACATTCGTAAATTATGGGCTCCGCAGACAAAAAAATATGAGAACCACTGACGTAGGATATGAATATTTTCCATCAGATAGATATATGTTTTTGATATTGAAGTCTCATTTAATATTTTCATATTAATAATTACTTTATAATAGACAGTGGCATATTTATGAATTTTAGAATAAGGACAGCATATATTTTGCCAGTTCCACCCCCTTCCTCACACAAAAAAAAAACTTTCATTATTATTATGACTTCTTTTAACAACGTCTGTATAATATAAATAATTATATACTATGTATACATTATATGAAATATATATTCAATATATTATAATATATGAAACTTAAATTAACATAAACAAAAAAACTAATAAAGAAAAATGTAATACTTTTTTTTCTTGATTTAGAAATATCTAAATCGTTGATAATTTTTTCAAAGTCTATTGAAATGGTTATTTCAGCTTCAATTTAAAGTACTACTGTATCTGAACAATAGTATTTTGCCATTGTAAACCGTAAATAGTTTTTATAAAATAACGTTCTATAGGAATTTACACGAATTTGCACGAAAGACGAACTTTTGAAGTTTAGTTTTATAAATATCATAAACCCGAACAATAAATTGTTCGGGTTTAGTTTCGTCTTCAATGTGTGTTATATTCGTAAATTCTATTAAACGAACTATGAAAATTAATAAACTCAAAATACAGCTTAACACTACTTATCCTATATTGAGTTAGGTTAGGCAATAAACCATTGCGTTTTTGGAAAGAACATCGAAATAAAGTAAATTATGTGGTTTGACCGTCCATCCAATACACTTACTGATCATCAGACTTGGGTAGTATTCCGAATACAATATTCAGAATACTTTTTAAATACTTTTTTTGAAAGTATTCAATAAAGTATTTTGAATACTTATTACAAATATTCTGAATACTGTATTTCGAATACCGTCGAATCATCTCTTTTTTAAATGATTTTATTACTTCTCCGTCATATCTTGTATAAGCTAATATCAGGAATTTATTATTGTTGTAAACCATAACAACTATAACAGTTATGTAGTATAAAAATACAATAAAATAACATTTATTTAATCTACAATTTTAAATATTTCTGTTGAGTGGACATCTATTATTTTTATAGTATTATATGAAAACTAGAAGTATTTTAAAAGTATTTGGAATACTTTTGAAGTATTCTAAATAATGTATTCGGAATACTATTTTTTGTAAGTATTCGAGTATTTATTCTAAATACTTTTAAAAAGTATTTTACCCAAGTCTGCTGATTACTTATTAAAAACTACCAAAACATTATTGGAAGTGGCTTGGAAAATCGCACATTTAAAAAAAATAGCATAATATTGGAGAAGAACTTATGAAACCAGCAGCTATTTAACAATGATTGGAACCGTTTGTGAAGATGATGAAACTGTTAAGTTAGAGTTAATTCAGCATTTGGATAACACTATTTAACGAAGGATAGTTCTTATGACTGGAAATATTTTAAGACAGCTAATAATACAACAAATGATTTCAGCAAAAAAACCAACACGCGGAGTTTCTAATACGTTCTTACATGAAGCTGAATAGGGTTCAAAAACAAAAAACTATCGACATTAATCTATACATTATAATTATTTTCATTTTATCACAGTTACCTCAAGAAGGATCAACATCTGGTGGATCGATGAACGTGATAGTGTACATCCACGGCGGAGCATTCCAATTCGGATCCGGAATCGGTTACACGCCGCATTATCTGTTGGATGGAAACGATTTGGTGTTCGTCTCGATTAACTACCGTCTGGGACCGTTGGGGTTCGCAAGCACCGGTGACGACACTCTGCCCGGCAACAACGGCTTAAAGGATCAGGTGGCCGCGTTGAAATGGGTTCAACGGAACATCGGGGCGTTTGGCGGCAACCCGGAAGCGGTGACCATTGCCGGAATGTCAGCGGGCGGAGCCAGTGTCCATTATCACATGTTATCTCCAATGTCACTAGGTATATAACACAGTAAATATTAGAAGTCGGTAGAAATCGTGTTCGTCTCCAAATACGATGATTTGACGATGGAGACTTAGAGCAATCGAGGCAAGCTAGTATATAAATATATAATGTAGCACAAACACTGTCGAATGTATTGAAGCGATGGCTAACACTTTTAGGTAATTGAAAAATCAGAAATACCCTAGGGGCATTTAAAATTTTAATTCGGTACATATTATATGTCATAGAATTTTAGAAAATAGAATAACGAAAAGTTATAAATATCTTCGGGCTAAAAGGGATAAAAAAATATGCTTCCTCATATTTTTCTTTCTTATAGGTTTATTTAACCGCGCAATTGCTGAAAGTGGAAGTGCTTTTTGCCACTGGGCCTACGCAGAAAATGTCGTTTCAAAAACTACTCAACTAGCTGAGTCATTAGGATGTCCTACATATTGCCCAGCGGCTATCATAAAATGTCTTAGATCGAGACCAGCAATGGCCATTGTACAGTCATTGGAAAATTTCATGGTAAATTAGTTATTTTAACATGTATTAGTAATGAATATTTTAATTTTATGTATACCTACCTAAATACACAACGATTTAACGACAAAGTTTTTAAATGTCATTAAAGCCATGGAAATACAATCCTTTTACGGTTTTCGGCCCAACCATCGAACCAGAAGGAGAAAATCGGTTTTTGACGAACTTGCCTGAGAACTTATCAGCTCAAGATGTCCCGTCACTATTTAGTTATACTCAGGACGACGGTCTTTATCCTTCCGCTGAATTCGTAACACTCGAAGAAACTCTTGTTGAAATGGAATCCAAATGGGATAAAATTATACCATTTGTACTTGACTACAATAACACTATATCAGACGAATCTTTGAGACCTGAAATCGCAAAGAAAATCAAATCGTTTTACTTTGGAAATAATCCTGTATCTCTAAGAACCAAAAACAACATAATCGAGGTAAGAAAATAAATATTTTAAAATTGTATAATGTATATTATATCTATAATAATTTGTTGATATACATAATTCATAGTATATGATTTATTCATAATAATGTCACGCTGATCACAATAATCTATTAAAACGTGTAAAATGTTTACATTGGTTTTTCATATTCTAATACATACAAAATATACTCCAATGTAAATTAAATTGATTTTAATATCGTTAGGTATATATATTTGGTAAGGTAATATTACATTTTCAAGTTTTAATATCCAAAAATAAAATTTTATTACATTAAAATTTTCAAAATATTAAATATTTTTTAAGTTTTATAATAAAACTAAAATTTATTTAAATATGAAAAAAAAATGTTTTTGATATTGGGTAAAAGTTTCAAGTTTCTAGCCAAATTACTTATGAAGTTATAACTAAATAACTAATATCTGAAAAGTGAAAGTCTCATTTACAAGTTAGGGGGTCCGGGTTCAAACCCCTACTAGGGCCAAAAAGAAAAAAAATTGTTTTATTATTTATGACGTATAATATATTCGTAATTTCATTATTACGCTTTGAACTTAAAATATACAACTATACAAATATTGTAATAATTAAATAATTATATTTATAGGTGTTTAAAAAGTTTTGTTAACTATGCTGTTTTTATATTACAATAGCTATTAATTTACTGTAATGTAAAAGTAAACTGTAAATTGGTAAAAAGTTGTATAAAATAATATCTATTCATAACAGTTATTTATCTGTGCAACGAAAAAAAAAAAAGATAACTATTATTTTTGTTAACCCCCCCCCCAGAGCAAAATTGAATGTACGCCACTGCTGTACCGAAACCCATTCCATGTATCTACGTCTATTATTCTTTTCTAACTCGAGTTTTAAATTATAAATATTATCCTTTAATTATACACTGCGATGTATAAGTTCACTTAAAATTAATTGGAACTGAAAATATTTAAATATTAGTATATGTTTCCTTATTTAATACATAAATAACATAATAAATTGTTATTACGATATTGAACTATAAGTGTAGCTTGAGCTTGTAACCTTTATAATCGATTTATCAAACATATAATTTATGAAAATGTAATTTTTTAATATTACAGATGACTTCGGACAGGATGTTTAAAGAACCCACGGCTAGAACGGCAAAACATTTGGCTTCAAAAAGCTCATCACCTGTATATTTTTATGAATTTGCTTACAGAGCTAAAGATTCGCTTTCAGATAAATATTCCAAAACCGGAAATTCTGAAGGATTAGGTAAACAGCAGCAGATTACACATAACAATAATACTACTGAAAACAATTTACCTGTGTGGTCAGCGGTTAGAAGCTAAGTTAGGTAGGTTAACACTGCACACTACGGCTAGGCGCTGGTTCTCGCCATAGGTCGGGTCCGCGAATTGTGGATGGCGGTACTTAAAAGCTCCTTTGTCGTGTAGGAGACAGGCGAAAGCCTGCTCGAACAGCGAACTTGCGCTACGGGCGGTCCGGGGTGGCAGCTTCCACCGACGCGGACCGCTCGCGTAGAATGTGACTCGTGCTCCAAGCCGCGGAGCCGGTTTACGACATTTACAATTCCGAAATCGTTCCCGGAGTCTTACGGGGCGACGGCTGGTCGGACGTCGGGAAACCAACCCGTCGTCTGGAGCGTCCGTTCTTCGTCCCTCAGGTGGCGGCTGGCACGTCTCACGTTAGCCTCGATCAACGTCACCCCATTCCGAGGCCAAACGCGGTAACGGTCGGCAAACCGAGTCATGATGGTGTCAGTCGTTCAGTCCTGTACGTCGGTAGCTGCCGGAGTAACGTCCCGTAAGCTAGTTATGTTCTACCATAACGACGATAAATTACGAATGGTACGTCGAGGGGGGGGGGGGCCTACGCGTATTTCCGCCACGCCCAGTTCAGCTTCGGCTGACACTGAGGTTGGACTCTACGGGGTTGTGGAGTCACTAGCTAGGACCGGGCAAGCACCGGGCGCCCGGGGTCCCATTCGGGGCTTTCACTGAACGAAAGTCATTAGTTCGGCGGGGAGCGGCGTTAACCGCCTGGGTCGAGATGATCGCCGACTCGTTACAGACGTGTTCTTTTGAAGAGAGCCGCGCTCTCAAAGGGGGCGCGTCTGACCGGGTCTCGGCCCATAATATCTGCATCTTTCTGCACACACTACGGCTATCGAACGATTGAAAACGTTATACCTTTTTGGCCGTACGATTGAGAACACTTAAAATTAACAAAGAACTTACCTCTGACACCAAAAAACGAAACGATTGAGAACGAATTTATGTGCAACGTTGCCATAGTTTGCCATATCATTCATTTGGCTTTTGAAAAATTCAGTATACATACAATAAATATTCTTGAAAAAAGTCATAAATTAATAATTATAAACTTATATAAATAAGTGCCTAATAATTTGTAATATATAATATGAATAAAAAATTAAAAATATTTAGATAGGACTTATAAAAATATCTAATACTTATATAGTGTGTATATATGTATGAAAAAATTGTAAAATATGTAGAATTTATAAAATGTATTACTTTCTAATAATTTTTGGTCTTCACCTCGTTCGCTTCTTATAGTTTTAATTTCGTTCTTTTCCATTTTAATAAATATGCTATGTAGTATATTATATTGACGAATAGTTCGTGCGACGACTGCAAAGCTTAACCTTCATTCTCTCGTATCTGGTATTTAAATTACTATTAACATCCAGCTAATCCAATGAAAGTCCCGATAAATATCAACAGATAATTGTGCTCATGTTATCGATCGATTACATTTGGTAACATCGGAAAAAAAAACTCGAGCATTCTCAATCGTATTTTACCGCACACTACAACCCAGCGGCGTTTTCCGGATTTTTTATGAGGGGGGGGGGGAAATATGAAAATTCAGGGGCGGGCTGGTTAAGAAAGCAAAAGGGTGATGGCCTACCGTACTCTCAATAGTGTAATATTAATTATAATATTAAAACACTAATCATTTACTATTAGTATATCCGAATTTGGATAAATTGAACACAATTAACTAAAAATATTTATTAATTAAAATGTAATAATAATAGGTCCAGTTGACAGTTGATAATTTTAAAATAAAATGCTTTCAAGGTTTTAGCAGTTTTTATCTTGGGGGTAGTGGTATCGATTATGAATAATAAAACGTCATAGTGTTAAATAGTTCCAATAGATATGTAGAATAGTTTGCAAACAGTTAAATAATTAGTTTATTCTGATTTTTCGGTACTTACCAAATATTGCTTACCCAAATCTGCTTCAAGTATAACAACAATTAAATTAGCGAAAAATCTATTTTCGATATCGGTAGTTTCGTGATATTCAAAATAAGATAAAATCCTTTTTGTTATTAAGAATAAAGGCCACGGTACACAAAAAATGCAAAAAAAGCACTCAAACTTCGAAATATGCAACGTAAAATTAAATATTTGCCTTCTTAGTTTTCTGAAACAAATGTATAGATCACATAAGTGTTTCTAGGACCTCTAAAATAATATAATCAAATGGTAAAAGTTATAAACCCTGATTATTACTGAATATTAGTTGAACATGAAAACAATTTTTTAAAAAAACATTAAAAGAAAAATGGTCATTTGAGGCCTCTTTACCCCACCGGTGAGAACGCCCGTACTACAACCTACTATTTGTTCGATAGGTGTGTCGCACGGTGACGATACCATGTTCGTGGTTAGGACTACTTATGGAAATCCGCATGCCAACGTAGAAGACGCCAAATTGATTCCAGTCATGGTAAACATGTGGACATCGTTCGTCAAAACTGGGTACGTCTTTTGAACAGTACATAACGAAATAGATACACAATTAGGAAATAAACGGTTGTTCGTTAATGATATTTGTAATCGATCGACGGCCGCGATTTGTTTATAACATTGGAATTATTGCGGCGAACACGTCAGACGGACGGAAGTAGTAATACGATTATAAGTAATTATTCGCCGGTAAAAAAAGCACTATATCTATAATAAACCCTAATAATTACTAAAACCGTATACATACTTATTCACGTCAGAGTACGGTATTTTCGTAATCATCATTGTGTTATTTCAGTGTTCCAGATTTAGGAAGCTCAGTGGTATGGTCGCCGGTGTCCAAGAATCCCGACGACCCTCTCAAATTGATCAAAATCACTCAAGCCCAAACATTCGAGCCCCAAGAACTCGCCGACCCCGGTAACCATACGTTCTGGAGCACGTTACCGCTAACCGAGTTTACAGCCGATGGTTTGTTAGGAAACCGCGTCAACCGTGTCGAACTTTAACGTATTCGTTCTCGAACGTTATTATATTGTCTGACAGTTTTGAAGTGCTTGTAATCTTACATACAATCTTATATCTTACGTTTTCCGTTTTTAATGCTTGTTTTTACTTGTTTAGTTTTTTATTAGAAATAATAAAGTAGAAAAATAAAGTTGTGGTTATGTTCAATAACTACATTATTATTACGTTACATAAATAATACTAATTTTTAAAATATTTTTTCCGTATTTGGTATTTTGTTAGTTTAAACCGTAATAAATGTGTATGCCGTGTATAATAATTATTACCGAAGAAGAATGTTTCACTGTTCCAGTATTGGTTTCATTTTTTTTGATTTAACATAAAATCTAACAGAGTACTTGAAATTCATATCATGTGACTATGGTTTCAAATATGATACTTAAAAGTACTTTTTTTGATTATTTTCGCTTTATCTCTGCTAAATTATGATACATGCCATTAAAAAAAAAAAAACAAACAATTTTAGTTAATTTCTGTTTTTTTGTTTTTGTTCACTGTTAAGCTAAAACTAAAAATAATTTTTCTTCTTTATATAAAATTTCCTAGTAATATAAATCAGTTCTCACAAATGTAAAATGTTTTTGAAAAAATTACCTTGGAGCATTAAAAAAAAAATACTAGATGGAGAAGATGACAGCAAGTTAACCAACTCAACAAATTTCTCAAAGATTCTAGTGATGATATCGTATATTTTAATATGTGCCAATCATACCTGTAGTTGTAGTGTTATTTTGACTTAAAAAACACTATTGATAAATAATGAAATAACAAATATTTGATTGTTCAATGCAATAGAGACAATAAGAATTCATTTAAAATACTTTTTTTTTCTTCTAAAATTAATCATTTTTGCTTTGGTTATTCTTAAAAAAAATTTAAATAATTTTTCCGAAAAAACAGAAAATCTATAAGAAGTATAATAAATAAGTTAAAATGTTCTTTAAAACAAAAAAACCAAGTTTTTAATTTTTTTTATATTTTTAGGTCTTAATATCAAACAATAAAAAAAAAAATGTGTTAATAGTTATTGTCATACTATTTTTTGCTTATTTTATTAATGATGCTTATTAAAGATGAAGTATTTATAATGCTATTATCCAGATTTTGAGTTTAAGTTATCAACTGTAAAATAGTATTTAACTATTAATTGGTAGTAAAACAATTACATGATTACATTATTTAGTTTTCAAATATTTATTATCACCTATTAGGGTATTCAAAAACCTGATGAATTTTTTTATAGAGAATAATAAACACACAAAGAAACTTAAAAATATCAAACATAATGTATTTAATATTAAATTACTTTTTGTTTTTATGTAATATATATGTATTAAATATATAAATTATAAATATACTTAAAAATAAATAATGAATAAACAAAAACAATGGTGTTACTAGTAAGTGAGTACTAGTTTTTCTTAGTATATCAAGTCTAGCAGTCTTTACCGTAATGTTTTGATTTACAAAAACATAATATACTAATTATCAGTTTTGAAGTTTACAAAAAAATGAATTATAAAATAATTAATACAATTCAAAATATGAATAAGTCAGTTGTTTTATAATAATAATAAGTAGTTAAAAGAATAATAGTTTAACATGAATTAAATCAAAAAAAAAAAAAAAAAAACATAAATGTTTCACATATACTTGACTTGATTCTACCAAGGCAAAAAACATCACTTAACAAGCATACTCAAAAAAATAAAAAATAAATTCTTTTTGACCAATAATGGTCACAATATAAAACAATATTAAAGATGCAGTACATAAATGAGTGACAATTGTCATGACAATCGACAAGCAGTCATTTTTTTTACATTAAACATGATCGGCTTGTGCCAAGGTCGTTTAGATGGATCATTAGCATTATCAATGGGATCAGGTGTACTCCCGTTCTGTTGATCTGGATTATTTATACAATTGATAAAAGTTAATAAATGTATAGATAACTATATTTAAAATCATTAATTACCTTTAATTAGTTTTTCTGTGATATATTCTTCTTCATTTTCTGAAGGTGTTTCACACGAATGATAGTTGAACAGATATGGTAATACAGTCATGTTATGCATTGAATCACCACGCAATGGAGGAATAGGCACTTTTTCAGAAGTTCTTGGATGTCTACAAACAAACCATCTAAGCAGGACAAACAAAAATACAATGAAATAAATCAAAATATAATGGCAGAGTCAAAATACATTCAAAGAAAATTAACATCATACTTGGAGTTATACAAAACAAAATTTACAGAGTTCTAATTTTATGAACAATGTATAACGAGAAAAAAATTTTAATACAAGTAGAGTTAAAGAATGAAATTAACAGAAATGTTGCGTAAATCAATATTTACCATACATATATTTCTGAATATATTGAATTATTATTTTTATTATTTATGCGTTTTAGAAATAAGTACAAAAATACAGTAGAACTTCCATACAACATTCACCAAAGGAACTGGATATAATAATGACTAGAAGTGACCAATAACAGAAGTTCAATACATTTCAGGTGACTATACAGAGTGCATGAAAATTTTAAAAAGAAAATCCCAAAAAATAATGTGTATTTATATATAAGTACTAAAAAAATATATTTATGATTACAATATAACGTGGATACAGATTAAAATTAAAAAAATTTCACACAAGCTTTTATAGATTATTAAAATAAAATTTAAAAATTGAGTTATAGTAGTGTTTTAAATTAATTTTATTATTCGAAAATTTTTTTTCAAATATATATTTAACATATTATAATCATCTATATTACCTTGATTAACTAATATTTAAATAAATATTTTATTTTTTCCATTAAAACTAGATGTTTTTGTTTGATTGTCATTGAAAATACATACACTTTGAAATGTTTTATACACTGAACATTAATGAAAAATGATAAAATACACAATCACAGACCATTGTTCATCACATTATCAACATTATAAATGCTCGTTAAGATAAACTGTTAAATATAATTTAACATTTTTTTTATTTTTCATTTAACATATTTTTAAATTTTGATTGTTAATTAGAATATACGCTATAAGAGGTGTTTAAGTATTTTTCCCATAAAACTCGATGGGACCTAAATAATTAACCATCAAAAGAAATTTTATTATACAGTTATTAATAATATAATTTATAGAATATAAATATGATTCAAGATACATATGAAGGCATATCGAGGACTGGTGTCAAAAGTAGTTTGTGTGGAGTAACAAAAGATTTTAACGTGGGAATTGATGTGCATCGGGGGTCGGCTCTAAACATTTGTTTTCTGTAGTAATGAATGAAGTTACAAAAGAGATACAGCGAAAGATACCATGGTGTATGATGTATCCTAATGATATAGTTTTAGTAGGAGAAAATCTAGAAGAAATTAATTATAGGTTGGATAAGTAGAGATTAGCCTTTGAAGGAAAGGGATTGAGAATTAGTAAAAATAAAACGGAGTATATAGAGTATGACTTTAGAGGAAGATACCAAGAATTTGAGGGGTTAAGGAAACCAATCATAATAAGCAGTGATGTGATAGGTGAAGTCGAAAACTTCAAATATATTTAGAAAAATATTTAGAATAATTTGGAAAAAAGGATGGGGGCTTTGGTATAGATGTAAAACATAAGACTAAGTGCAGCTGAATAAATAAAGAGAATCGTTGGCGTTTCATTCAATAAGAGAATTTAAATGGGGCTGAAAGGTTAATTTTACATGAGTGTAATGAGACCAACTATTCTAAATGGTTCAAGGTGTTGGGCGGTTGACAGGAAAATAGAACAGAGTATGAGTGTTGCAAAAATGAGATTGCTCAGATGGATGAGTGGAGTGACAAGACAAGTTAGAATAAGTAATGAATATGTAAGAGGTAGTATTGGTGTAGCGTTAATAGTGGACAAAATGAGGGAAAATAGACTGAGATTGTTTGAGCATGTTATGAGGCGAAAGAAAACAAAATCAGTAAGATTATGAAAATGAACATTAAAGAAGAAGAGGAAGACCAAAATGGATACAATTGAGAATGATATGAGAGCTGTTGGTATGTGGGTAGGGTATGTAGAAAATCAAGACAAGTGTAGGTTTAGGATAAAGGTGGCTGACCCCAAATAGTTAGGAGAAAGGCGTAAGACAAGAAAAATATAAAAATAAGTACATAACATTAATCTTAAAATATATTCTCTGTTTTATTATAAATTATTGACTTACGGATGTGTTTGTATAGTTCGTATGCTAAATCGTTTCTCTGGATCTTTTTTAAGCATTCCAACCAGTAAAGATCTCAATGGTTCAGTTACATAGGTTGGAATTTTTATGTTACACTTTCCAATTGCTTCAAATAATCTATAAACATTATCACCTTCAAATGGATATTCTCCTGTTACTAAATTGTACCTTAAAATAGAAAAATAATAATAAGTTTTTTAGTAATTATTTAATAATTTAATGATTTTTATACAATGTAACACCGCTGCTCCATATATCTATTTTAAAGCCAGAGTAATCATCAGCTCCATTTGCTATTTCAGGAGGTTGGAATGCTGGTGATCCTTGACTAGATGCACAAATACCTTCAGGATCAAAGGGTGATAATGCCTAAAAATTTTAATTTTAGATATAAAAACAGAAAACGTATTATAAATATTATTTCAATAAACCTCAGCAGTTCCAAAGTCTGATATCTTAAGTGTTTCATCAAGTGTGAGCAATAAATTTCCTGGTTTGATATCTTTATGGATTATTCCACGGCTATGTAAATATTCAAGTCCATTAATTAATTGACTGAAATAACTATAAACAGAAATTATTAAATGAGATCTCATATATGCATTAATATTTTTAACAAATTTATTTAAATACTTACTTATGAGCTTGCCAACATGGAAATTTACTTCCTGGAGAATGTTCTAACATATCTTGAAGACCACCCACACAATATTCCATGAGAAGATACATCTTTTCTTTTTCATCATTCACTATCACATCTACTAATTCTATGACATTTAAATGCCTCAATGTCTTCAAAAGTTGAATTTCACTAAGATATGATAAGATAAATATATTAAAAAAGTCACTTAAGTACTAGAAATTAATTAAAAATTTATGAGGTTGATACTTAGAAATTATACCAAAAATAATATATTTAGTGATTTTATATATACTTGATAATGAATTTTTAATTTGAAACCAGCCATACATATATAATATAACTAGCTACGCATTTATTTTATATATATTTATATTTATTTATATATTAATACACATTTTATCAGTAGATTTAAAATAAATATTTATAAATGTTTTTTCTTCATTGAATTACTTAGAAACTATGATTTTTAAAATAATTTTCAATAGATTTGATCATTTTTAAGTGAAACATAGTAGAAGATTAAAATGATTTCATTATTTTAGACATTGCCCAACCATATATATTTTTAATTATTATTATTTTTTTCAAATTTAATCATACTATTACCACTGTTTTAATATCATAAAGAAAGTATAACATTTAAGAATATAGAATTAAAAAATATTATTAGTATAATGAGTATTTTTCACCATTATTCTACCAAGGAATGGTAAAATTCAGTTAAATTAAATTTATAAGAAAAGTAATAACTATAATTTAAGGTAGGTATACTTAAAAAGTAAAACAAACTAGTCATTTGTTTTCATTCTCATAACGAATGAATGTTTAAAACAAAAATTAAATTTAAGCACAAGTTGTAGAAACATCAAAACTATTCAAATAAATTATGATAGTTGGTTCTTGTAGTAAATGTTTTAATAAGGTTCACATTTTAACTAATTTTCAAATATTTTCATTATTTGGTTTAAATATATTAAAAACTAATTTTGGCTTAACAATACTATAGAAAATATCTAAAATAATTCATTTTTTTCTTAATATTCAGTTATAATTTTTTTACTGAGTAACTTAAATAATAACAATTTTTAATTTAAAAAATATATCCTCAGTTTTTTAACTTTATTTTTCTTTGTAATTTCAATTATTTAATGATAGAATAATAGTTATTTTTAATTATATTTTTATTATAATTAATAGAAAGCAAAGTTCAACAGAAAACTAATTTTATTGATTAGAACCATAAGATTGGTTAGTTGGTATTTTTAAATGTTGTATTTATAAAATGTTAATAGAAATTTAAACTCAATTTGTATACAATGTATGAAAATTATACTAAAGACATCGTAGAATATTATAAATGACAAAATTATTAAAATTACTTGAGCACATTTTTTTCTCCGTTTGGTATCCGTTTGAGTTTTTTCTTTTTTAATATTTTAGCAGCACGGCGTACAAGCGTCTCAGAATCCAGAACTTCTTTGACTTTTCCGTAACTGCCTTCGCCTAACAAATCACCCATAATGTATTTACCGACCATTTTGCATGGTTTCTTTTGCGACCGGTACACCACTTCATCAGGATCAAATGAATTGAAAAGGCCAGTGGGAAGACAATTTGTGGCCGACCAATCGGCGGGTACGTTCAATATCAAGTCTTTGAACACGTCCTCATTATCTTCTGCGGCGGTGGTCGGCACAAAATCCCTCTCTCCCATCATCTCTTATTTTCACACCATTTCTATCGGCCAATAGTTACTATAATACAAGCAGCTACAATTAATGTTAGTCAGGTGATTATTGCAGTTTTATTTATATATTTGCGTTAGATTTGTTCGTCGTGTTGATAATCATGCAAAATACTCGTTTAACGGAACCGAATGCGTGAAACGAACCAAGAAATATTAACAATGCGAGCGAGCACGGAGTGATCGGATATGAATGGTTCGGTTGAAAAACAATACCATCAACGGGACGAAGTTGTGGAGATGTTGAAATCCGTATTATCACCGTACTTACATTGTTGACACTGATAACGTACCCATTGTATATATTTTGTATGGTAAGCACAGGCAAAACATATGGTGCTCGGCGCTAAGGTGGGAAAACTCTAAGACGTTACGAACGCGCTCCAAGGACCAACGGCACGTTCCGTAGCACGCACGGACATTGAAAGACCGTGTATAGAATTTATTTACATATCTATGGATTGGAACCAGTGCCGTAAAAATCATAGGTGCAGGTGGTGCACAGCACTGAGGCCCGCAGGGTCAAAGGGCCCATAGCAGATAACTGTCAATTTTTTTTTTTTTTTTTAATTTGATTTAATTTGATTTCTAATTATTGTATTATTATCTTGTATTTAATTTTATATAATAAAATTTAAAAGTCTGGTCCGTTTTATTTGGAATTTTTTATCTAAATATTGGAAAAACTACTAAGCCTAGAGTGACATAAATAGATCGCTTTTATATTTTATTGTAAATCATATTTATAAAATCAATAATCATGTATTTATATTATATATTTTATCTATGTTTGTAGTTTATCTTACAAATATTTTTATTAATAAAATCTATCCGATATACAATTGTGATCTTGTACACCTATTAAGTTGAAGCTTTACACTGATTTGTTCCAACGAGAAAACTATCTATCGGTTCTTTAAGTAGTGAGTACGTCCACAAATACTATCCGATCTAAGGATTAAAAAATTCCCATTGTGTGAAATCATTCCGACTTTTTTATGTATCTCAAGAAAGAGGGACTCATGTACGTTTGTCTGCACCTAGGTCTTTGACACTCTAGTTACGGCACTGGTTGGAACCGTATCGCGGACGTTTCATCTCCGTTTATTATTAAGATAGGACCTTTGGCCACCGGTAGTTATATAGATTTATTTTAATTAAAATATTTGAACAAATATGACAGGAATAAATTATCATATATTATTTATAATTTATGTTTACTTAATATAATTGTACCTAAATTATTATTATCATTATAATTGTTTTTTTTTATTGGTGCGTGCTTGTAACCGTTCGCTGATTGTGGCACCGTGTACGGCTTATGCAATTTACGGTTATTGTGGATTTAAATTTGTTGTGCGATTGTGCATTTTGAAAAGAATTAAAATTTAAGTTAAAAAAAAACTTTTTAAATTTAGTGATTTAAAATTTTAGGGGCCAGACGTTCTATGGGTAGGTATAAATAAATCTATATAACTCCAGAGACCAAATATCCTATCTTAATAGTAGGGAACGAAATTTAATTTTACTGTTGGAACCATAGGCATGTAGAGATCTTGATATTTCTATGGTTGGAACTAGGCATGCAATCCGAAGATCTGAATTATCCGGATTTATGAATTTGCTTTTCATATACCGTCAAACGAGGTGACGAAACGATTTTGATATATTTCTTGGTATTTTGAGCTTAAAAAAATGTTATTGAGCTACAAAAAATACATAAATATGTGCATACGTGTCGTGAATAGACTAAGACCTTTCATTTGATGTTTTGACCGAAATTGGACATGGAAAAAATAAAAAGTACGTGTTAAAAGTCACCTCAATTGTTGGATGACTTGTATAGCTATGAAAATTTGCAAAAGATACAACAATAAAATCGGTGTTATCATATGAAGGATGATTTCAATGGGGAAAACTGACCCAAGCCCCTTTTGGCACCGTTTCTATCAGCGCTGTCAACCGCGTTCGGCTTTACGAGCAGACATGGTATTACGGTGTCCGCCGCAGCCAGTGGTGGATCTAACGGTCGTTTAGTCGGCAAATGCCGACGGGGTCCCTAGCTATATTCCAGTATGAGGCCCCGTACATTTTTGGAAAACCCAAAGATTATTTTTTTGTTTTTTATTATAAAAAAATGTAAATCAATTAATACAATATGTATTTAAAAAAATTCAATAAGTAAATAGGAGAATAAATTAATATGACAGACAAGACGGTGAGTAAGGAAGCTATCCAGTGACAGGACTCTTAATTGAATACCCAATGTAAAAATAAAATGAGTTGATAATATTATTATTTCATTGTAATATTATCATTGCGAATAATCCAATGAGTCGGTAATCGGTATCTACAATCTACTATCTTACTATGTAAGGCATAGGTTCCCAAAGTGTACACCGCGTTATATGTATAAGGGCAGCGCGTCGTCATAAAATACTATCGAGTCTAACATTTTTCTTATGATTAGTCATGCTATGACTTAAAGAAGGGCGTCCTGAAAAAACCTTAAATCAAAAAGGACGCCGTGAATCGAAAAAGTTTGGGAAGCACTGATTTAAGTTGTACCTATCTAAAGTTTTAGATTAAACTGACCAATGATAATATTTTATGTCTTCACAAATGTATTTAAAAATATTATTTAATAACAAACAATAACAATTTAAGGTCATTTGAGTTTGGTGTTTCAACCATTGACATGACTATGCGAGTACTGCGTTGTGACTACTTCTACGTTGTGAGTTATCTTGTCTAACTTACTCTACACAAGTTACATTGATTAATAGTATATTATACTATATAGTTTAAAATTATATTTAATCAATGGTATTTTTATAATTCTATAATTTTATAATACACAATATATAAATTGTATGTATAAAGTTTTAAACGCTTTTAAAACTATTTTTGATTTTACTAATCGGAAGTGCTAGTACTGAACGTGCAATGAGTGTGCTACGAAGTTTGAAAAACTATTTACAGTTAACCATGGTACAAACGAGCGATTTAGCTTTACTCTGCATAGAGTATTACGATGCACTTAATATGGATGAAATTATCGCGAGGATCGCGATCGTCATAAAAATCAAAAAATATAAGAATAGATTTTTTTTAGTGTTGTTAACTCATTATTATAAAAGGAAATTCATTATTTCATAAAAATAAAAATACTAAAATATTATATTAAACATGTATATAAACTTATTTTATATGTATTATATTTATGACCAATTAGATGAAAAAAATAATTTATGAATTTGTGATTTTTCGGTTCTTGTGCATATAAAAACTAGTACTTACATAAAGATATTAGCACCTTGGCATTTAGCATAATAAAAAAATTGGGGGCTAAAAAAATATATTATTATGAGAGTCTATTTTTATCAGATACATGAATATTTTACACACATATTCGAAGGAGCTTATTATGGTTTTAAGTCCCAGCCCCTAGTCCTCCTAGTGTGTCAATGAATAAACATTAAAATTTAGCAGTTATAGCTCCTTAGATCGGCGTCCCTCATATCAGTTTGCCGACCAATATTTTACTCTTAAATACGCCACTGGCCGTAGCCGGTGCGTTCCGAGAGAATAATTAATAATATTAGCAACGCTCTACCATCACGATTCAGATAAAACCATTTTGTCCATATAGTGTTTCGTAGACAAAATCCGTTTACATTTACAGTTTCTGCAGTAATAAATGGGGTTCTAAACACTGGCTGATACTGTTGATAACATCCATGTTGCCGCACTGATAAGAACTAGTTGATTTTAAAATTAGTAGTTACAGTAGAACCTCATTAACCCGGACTAATTGGAGCTCTAGATTATCCGAATTAATGGAAGTCCGGATTAAACAAAATAATCAAAAATCGCAAATTATAAATTTAAAGAAAATGTATTGCAGATTTTATTATACAAGTTTTAATCTAATACATATATATATGTCTAACAATATGAAACCTAGAAAATAGTACATAATTGTATTATAATCATTACGTACATATTAAGGTTTACCTTCATTATTCACACTTGATACGCTAAGCGTAAATTACTGGTTTAAAAAAACTGCTAATCTTTGGGGTTGTTTTCCTTTCTCAGTAATTTCTTTGATGAATAACTCGTGAAGATGCCTTAGATGCTAGTATAACGCTGATATGTTTTCATCGTTATTATCTTCTACGTATTCAACGACAATGTTTAGATAGTTTAGATAAACTAGCGTAATTTAAGTATTATAAACGGCTATCCGGATTAATGAGCTTTTAATGTAATTAAAAATTCGGTCGAGGGTTTCATCAATCCGTTTCTATGTTTTTTATATTTACTCCTGAATCATATTAACTGTGTGTTTGTGTTAAAACGCAAATATACTTATTATATATTTATTTTTTCTAGTTTCTGAACATAAATAAAACCATGAATTTTTGACTGTAACAACCATAATACAATGCAGTATTTAAATTCATTTTTCAACTTTAAAAGTAGTATCAGTGTATGTCATGAATTATGTTTTAAAATTTTGCTTCTTAATAGTTTCTCAGCTGATAAAAATAAATTATTTGCTAAAACCTCAAATAATGGAAAGCCTTAGAACCCTCCCACTAGTAACAACAAAAACAACTAAGGATAATATCAAATATAATACACATGATTTATTATTCTATTATAACAAAATACTACAACAAATATTACAAAATACTAAGTACAATTTTGTTCAATAGTTTTTAATAAAAATAAATTATTAAAATTGCTTAAATAAATTATATATTAATAATACTAAGCAAAAATAGAGAATTGTTAAATGTCACTTGATTATATCATTTAATAATGTATTTTAACATTACTTAAGTTATAGGCCTGGTGACATAGGTTGAACCCATCTCCAAACTTGGAAGTCCTCACCATCAATTTCTTGAATCTCAGATCTTACTCTTGATTCGGATTCAGTAAAATATTGTACAACTTCAGCCCAAATTTTAGATTTTTCTAATGAATAAAATAATTAAGTATGAAAATTGTACACTTTTATATGAACAGGCTATATTCTACACATACCTTGTCTCTCGTTAAATGGAATTAAGTGATCACGTACATGTATAATTGGTAAATAACTTTCATCAGGTTGATTCAGTGCTCGCTCTTTAAGTAAATCAATTGTGTTTTCAACTAATTGAGTTACTTCTAATTTATATTTTTCACCTTTTGCTGTAATGTAGCATATAATAAAATAAAGACCAATAACAGACAGTCCCACTGGAAAAATAAAAATAGATTTTATAAAATATATTAATAGCACTAATGAAAATAATACGAAATTTAATGCAAATAAGTTACAATAAATATTCATTAATTAAAAATAATTTAATTAAACTTAAGGTTTTAAAAAAATTAAATATTTATGAACAATAAAATTAAAGGTTAAAGTTTTTATTAAATTTAACTTGTTTTACGAGTAATCAAAATAAAATAACATTTTAATAGATGGGGTAGAAATGTATTTTGGTTTTAAAATTTACTTTTATTTAACAATTTATTTTTGAATATTGTTTACACAATAAAGGTTATGAATTATATCACAGTCTATACATTGTAAATTTGTGAGATTGATTAAAATGTTAGAATGTTAATAAATTATAATATAATAACAGATAAAATTACAAAAATAAAATGAAAATTATTAAGATTATCTCATAGATTTATATTAAAATTATATAACAAATTGAAACAATAAATCATTTATATACTAAATCAATAAAAAACATAATACCAAATAAAATAATATAAGTAAATAACTAGGGACTCAGAAACAAGCTGAGAAATTAATTTAAATTAGAGAAGATAAATTAAATAAAATTGTTAGTATATACTTACTATTTTTTTAACACAAACTAATCATAATATATTTATAAACAATAAATATTGTTATAAATTAATGTAATTAATATAATTTCAGATTTAATTTTAAGTTGATAACACAGTCTTCGCAATTTAATACTTTAAATAAGTTATTGTAAAAAAAAAAAACCTTATTATATAGTAGAATCCATTTTTTATATTTAAAGAATATGCAAAGCATACAATATTTTATATACATACCTATTCCCAGCCATGTTGTAAGGTAGAACATATTGGAAAAAATATTTTTAGCTGCACACATAAATGGTAAATTCGGTGGAGTGTTGATTTTAAATGAATTGTCATAACCTATTGGTGAATCAGAATAAGTTTTTGCAATACTTTTAAATAGTTCAACTAGTTCTTCAATTTCTCTGGGTGGTATATTTTCATGGGTAGAAATATATTCATAAAGAGTTTGTATATTAATAGTCGGTATAATATCAGAATTGTCACATTGGCTTTTTAAATATTTATCTTGTACTTGCGATATTAATACATTGTATAAACGTTGTATTTTTTCTTGTTCTGTAACGCAATTAGATCCTTGGAGACCTTTTTTTCCACAAAGCGAATTCAAAATACCTGAAATTGTAATATGATATTAATTAATTACAATAAATAATAAATTAGTTCAATACAAAACAAATTAAATTGTATAAGACATAGGTTGTTTCTTAAAGAAAAATATATAAATACATAATTACATAATAATTTAATAATATAATTTAATGTAATTGTAGAGTAATAATAGTACTACTATAAACACAAATAAAAAATAAAATAAAAAAGTTGATAGGATAATATGCATACTACAATGCTTAAGAAATGTTTACAATATTTTAGTTTCATAGTAAATATAAAATTTTTTTTAAATATTTTATTAATTTTTTTTTTTTTATATTAAAATTTAATTTTAAGTAGATTCAAAGTTTGGGTTTTTAAAATGTTTATTTATGTTACTATACAAAAGTTTATAATATGAGAAAAATATATTTGTATTTTATTAGGTAGTATTTGAAATGTTGTGCTAAGATCTGTTCATATTAATACCCATTTAAACAGAGGTGGATAAGAAACAACAGTGAGTCAACTTTAGATGAAGAATAAAGTGCCTACAATTAAAAATAAATCAAGAATAACATTATATTTTAATATTCTAATTAGATTAGGTTAACAATTACCTGGAGGTAATACAACCGAACTAGGTTGTACTGAAATAAAGTATAATCCAAGAATTACAACAAACAATCCAATGAAAAGAAATATGATATATTGAATATTCTTTGAATACAGATTTTGTTTATGTCTTTGTAGTGCTGTTTGAAAGTTTTTCCTATTTTATAAAAACATTTATTAATATACATACAACAATAACTTGATTTTTGTAAGAAAAATTATTTATTAAGCAAACCTTGAGTTTTGTGAAGCATTTGATTCATTATTTTGACCTGCAAATTAATATAAATAAAAAACAGAATTATTAGTATTACAACACAAATTATAAATATATTATATCTTTGATATTCATTTCAGTAATATATTAGATTTAATGTATTAAAATGTATTCATAATACAGTTAACTGATTTCTATAATACACAATTTTGATGTTTTTAAAATACATTTTTTAAATAAATAAGGTTAAAATATAAAGTAAACTGATAATAACTTACTTTGAGCTTGTTTCAATAGTTTTTCATTCCATCTTTGTATTGCTCTATCAGCATGTGTCTGACTTTCAACTACAGGATTAGATTGAAGTTTTCGGGTGACTGGTTCATTATCTGTTTGTCTAAGTTTTAAGTCAAAAAGCTTGGTGTTTAATTTTTCTGTTGGAGTTTGAGATTTTTTGTGAGGAGATTTATTTGTTTCTGTAAATTTATATAAAAATCACATCACAAAATATAGAAAAAAAAAAAAATAAAAGCATTGATAAAACAATAAACTTAAAATGAGAAGTACACATTAAATTTACCAGGAGAAACATATGAATCTTCACCAGTTTTATTTTTCCAGTTGGATACATTCATCAAAGATGTTTCATTTGATTTAGGTGAAGAACTAGCTCGATATAGATTCTTTGTTAGAACTGAATGGCCAATTGTGCCAGCATCAACCTCAGAATCAGAAGTATCAAACGGATCTTTTAACTGTCGCCGGCGACGTGCACTTTTTCTTGGACTGTCCGTATCAGTAAATATTATATGTTGGCTTGGTTTATTAGCATTTGCTGATGAAGAAATCATTATTGACTCGTTGGTACCATTAGTTGAATTCACCAACTTTGGAGGAGGCATAATTTTTGAAGCAACATTGTGTGTTCCGTCACCACTTTCAAGTTTTGTAAGCTTTTTAATCAACAATTTCCTGGTCGAATCAGTGACAGGAGGGACCACCACATTATAAGATGCCAAGCGACGACGTAATTCTTGGTCAGATATGCTATCACCCATGATGCCTGGAATTAAAGATTACTTAACGTAATATAAGAGATAAATTAATAATAGATATAAATAATGATAGTGAAAACATTCCGTTAAAAATAAACTCAAGTAATTTATGTAACAAAACCAAGATTAATGCGACATAACATACTGAATTCGTCAGTTGAAAGAGAGGGGGAGATTCAAGTGGACGTTGAAATTAATATAATACTCACGTTGGGTGGTGTTGATGAATTGAATGTAAATGTTCTTTTGATAATTTCGATTGTCTGCGAAGAACACTCAGATAATATTATTGTATCGGCTACGAAGTGTAACCATTACACGACCGATAGTGTTTGAATTTTTAAATTCTATTATCGGACATAACACTGAACGTGAACAATAAACATTCGTTGACCAACCGTTGTGGTTTTGGTATTGGTATGTAACCTATAAGATTACGTGGTGGGAGTTACGACTGCGGCCGTTGATGGCGGAACGCCGTTATTTTTCCCCATCACGACCAGTGTAGCCATGATCGTCGACGGTGTACGGTAATATTTCAGCGGTGCACTACGATGGGAAGACGGAGCGTCTAAACGCTCCTTGGCACAAGTGTACGAAATTCAAATTACGTGTAATACAACGGTACCGCGTTCGGGCTGAAAATAATGCGTGTACATTATGTTTATTATACATAAAACTTTATGCAACTGACTAAATTGTACAACATGCCCTAACCTGATTATTCAAAATTTATAACAACATTTTTTGAAATCCGATCAATCATTTTGAACATCTGTATACCAAAATACCGGATATATATAGTGAGTTAAAACCACAAAATATTATTAGTGCTAGATGACAGATAAGATATGATAAGCTACTATACAACATCATGGTAAGACGTTTAGGTTTACAGTAAGGCTATAGTGGAGGGGGGAATTTTGATTTCACTTATTGATTCAATTCACTTTAATGAGTTCATTCCAGTGATTTGATCCAATGAGTAACTACTAATTCAAATTTAATAACTAATTCAACTAAATTAACTAACTATTTCAAATATAAATGACTAACTACTAATTCAATAAGTTCATGTGACCTATATATTTAATTTTATATAATAGTAATAAATTACAAATTTAGTGAACTGCATAATTCAATTAACATAACTCAAAAGTCACGAGCTTACAAAATTACAACATTAATACGGGAATTGATAAGAACCAGGTGGCAGCCCCTATTTTTCATAAAAATTTGGATAACACATTTTTTATTATTGTACAATGGTATGATACGAGGCCCTTCTACCCCCTTCTATATGATTATAATTTTTAGTGCAATGACAGTAATCATTTTTAGTAATAGTTAATTTTTATTAATCAAATAGCACATTATAATTAGATCTGGTATTAATCTGAAAACTATTTATAAATTATATATTTTAATGTGGGTTATATAATTTAAAATTGAATATATATTTAAGTCTGTCGAGTGTCTTGTTTAAATTAGCTTTCTGAAAAACACATTCATAGTAGTCTTATTTATGGTGGTGGTCGTTTGGGAGAGTGAAATTATTTTTACCTATGCAAGGTAAAAATCTAATGACAGATATGGATGATATTATTGCTAATAAAAAATAAAGAGTTTATACAAGAAACATGGAATAAATATAAAAGAGGGGATATTAACCAATTGGAATACATAAAATGTTTAGGTTTAAAATATCAGGCCAATAGATTGTATTAAACATTACTAATAATTAAATTATCTATAATTTTATTTTATTATTTTAATTTCTTGACTGTAGATTATTTCCTACTTATAAGTAATAATATTATTAATATCCATATCAATATTTTTTGAAACAGAACTTATTATTAATTATTTATAATTTATTTGATTTCTTTCAAATAATTGTTGAATGTAAATTATGAGTATTTTTATAAAAAGCCAATACTGAATAATAGATTACTTTAAAATATACTAATTATATTATATGTAACTGTATTTATAATAGTTATATATAGAGTTATATATTATCAATATTCACATCAATATTTTTTATTAAATAAAACTTATTGTTAATTATTTATATTTTATATAATTTTGTTTACATAATTATTGAGTGTATATGATATGCATTTTTATACCATCCAAACGGTATTTTTAGTTGAATAATCCTCACTCAAACGGTATATATCTATTCGAATAATAATACTCGAAAAATAATACTCAAAGAATTGTCATCTATAGAAAATAGTACAATTATAGGAAACATAAACGTAAGCCTAATAAGGAAGCCGATGTATTGTGAATGAAGGAAACTTAAACCAACTTTACCGAAAAGTTTGCAAGATAACTTTGTTACAAATTGTGATATTTTAACCTGCCAAAAGGAAAAAAAAACCTATACGTACAAACAAGACGAAATTATTTTTGTTATGTATAAAAAAAATATCAAAAAACACTTAAAATTTTCAAAACACTTTTGAAAATTGTGCGGTTAGGACTTATTCAAAGTGTGCGCTTTAAAGTATTAAATTTGTGCGGTTTTGGGAATCGTAAAGTACTACGTATCGACATAAAATTGTTAATATTAGTGTATATATAACATCGTCATTGTTAATCCTCCATTGAAGAAGTAAGTCGTTGCAATATATCCGTAAAAGAATTGTACTGCACAGATGTTCGTTTGTTAAATTGTAAGATATTAAATTAATTTTTGATTTAATGCCATAATCTACCAAAAAATGCAAGTACTACATTCGTAAGATACAGTTTTACAATTAAATAGAAGATCATCAAGTATGTATACAACAGTTTTAAAAAGTGTGTGGTAAGGACTTATTAAATGTATGCTATTTCAACCTATTAAATATATGCAGTTTTGGGAATCGTCGCATACTGCGTATCGACTTATGATTGTAAATTTTATTATATATATTATATTGTCATTTTTAATTTCCCATTGAAGAAGTAAGTCGATGTAGCAAATGTATGAGAGGATATTGACGGCAAAATTTATAGTCTTTGAAATATTAAGTTACTAAAGCATTCGTCGGGATATTGTTTATAATCTAACATGATGCATTTACTATATACGGACGCTACAGTTTTGCGACTAAATCGAAATGCATCATGTTTGCATACAACACTTTTGAAAAATGTTCACTTATGACTTATTCTACGTGTGCTCTTTTAACCTATAAAAGGTGTGCGTTATTGGGAATCGACGCATACTAAATATCCGCTTATAATTGTTAATATTATTATTTATTTAACATCGTCATTGCCAATCTTCCATTGAAGACGTAAGTCGTTGCAATATATCCGGAAGAGGAAAAGTACTGCACAGATGTACGTTTGTTAAATTGTAAGTTATAAAATTATTTTTTGATTTAATACCATAATCTACCAAAAAAGCATGTATTACATTCGGAAGATACAGTTTTACAACTAAATCGAAGTACATCATGTTTGCATACAGCAATTTTGAAAAATGTTCAGTTATGACTTATTCTACGTGTGCTCTTATAACCTGTTAAATGTGAAAGGTTTTGGGAAACATAAAGTACTACGTATTGATATATAATTGATAATATTACATACATTATATGGTCATTGTTTACTATCCATTGAAGAAGTAAGTCGTTGCAATGTATCCGTAAAATAATTGTACTGCACAGATGTTCGTTTGTTAAATTGTAAGTTATTAAATTATTTTTTGATTTAATGCCATAATCTACCAAAAATGCATGTATTACATTCGGAACATTCAGTTTTGCAACTAAATCGAAAAACATCATGTTTGCATACAACAATTTGAAAATTGTACGGTAACGACTTATTTAACGTGTGCCCTTTTAGCCTATTAAATTTGTGGGGTTTTAGGAATTGTCGCATTCCGCTCATCTACTTATAATTGTAAATATTATTAAATATATTATATCGTCCATGTTAATTTCCCATTTAAGGAGTAAGTTGATGTAGCAATTCTATGAGAGGATATTGACTGCAAAATTTATAGGCCCAGTAATCTATAAAAAAGATTTTAAATAATAATAATAATAATAATTAAATGTGTGCGGTTTTGGGAATCGATACG